ATCGTCGAAACTCGAAGGTCGAACCTACCTCGGCGTCCTTCTCCTCCCCCTTGTCCGCGCGCACGGCCGCGGTGCCCTCCAAGGCAGCTCGAGGACTTAAAGCCAATATGCGAGGAAACGATCGGGCACCGAGATCCGAACAACCCCATCGGGCCCCGACGTGAGAACAAGGACTCCTCCTCAACCTCCGCGTACGCCTCCTCCCCCTCCTTATCCTCCTCCTTCCCCTCCTTACGACTTCAACGACTCTTACTAATCTTACGGGCACTACTTCTACGACTAGTACTACCGCTACTACTATCACTACAACTGCTCTAAAACACCGCAACGCAGACCACTAAACATGCGGCACGGGAAGACGCTTCGTGTAAATCGTCGTAGCCTTCCTTATGAGGCCCGATGTGGCATGATGGGGTACGCGACACTACTGAAACAAGTCGTTGAACCACGCGACGTACACAACCGCTGAATGCCCAACCGCACGACGACGGGCGAGCTGCCCCCGGGCCTACAAGCGCGCGGGCGCGAGCGCTGGCTCGCGGCACAAAAGCGCGGGTTCCACGAGGCCCCTTTGAAAGAAAGTGCTAGGCATCGCGTGCATGCGGAGACGGGAATGGCAGCGCGCGCGCCCCTGGAACGCGAATCTTGAACCGCAATGGGTACACAGAGAACCCCGGGGGGAATCCTTCTTCCCGCCTTCATCGCCTCAGGCACGTTTATTGGAATTTCATGGTGTACTTTTCGAAAACCTCTGCTATCTTTTGGGAGTCGCGCCGCTCGGAGGTCTGGGAACAGTCCGGCGGAGGACGACGACGACAACGACGAGCTTCAAAAATGGCACAAGACGGTTCCAAGAGCGCCTCGGGTTCACTCGCCACCCAATGTCTCCAATGTCAATATCTCCAGTGCCATCTCCATCGTTGGCGACATGCTCAACATCGACCCACCATCTCTCAGTCATGAAACTCCATGCCAGCTCCGGATCGTACACTGCCCGCGACACCTGACCGCCAGCGTCTGCGAAGGTTAGCGCCTCCCTGTGCTCCAAGACTGCCCGCGCGTCTGTCAATTGCCCTAGAGCGCTCCAAGACTGCCAGAAAGCCACCTGGGAGAACCAGGAGCGCTCCAAGAGGACCCCCAAGATGACTCGGGGATGGGCCGAGGGCCCCCTAGACCGCCACAGAAGCCCCCGACACAACCCAGAAAGGCTCCAGGACCGCAATAAAACGGCCCCGATTCAATGAAGGAAATGCTTGCATGTCTTCAGGTGCCTCCCCCCTCGCCGCGGCTGGACACAACTCGAAGGAACATTGTGCTCTGACCCTGGGCCGAAGACCAGATGCATATCTTGATGGACCTCCGGAGGTCGGAAGACACTGCCCTTGTGAAAGCGGCCACTCGGGACCGCTGGGGCTCTGTGGGGCCCTCCTTGGGCCGTCTTGGGATTCGCTCGGGCCATCTGGAATCCTCCTTGGGCCAATTTGCGGCCAATTTCGGCACACCTTCTCGTTGTGAAGAAACCGGCATCACTCTCCCGCGACTTCCAAAAAGCTGTGGTACACGGTACCTCGAGGGAGAAAAAAAAGGGGTCGGCGGATGTGGCGGAAGCCTATAGAATCTTCAAAAGAAAACGCACACACAACCACACAAACACAGAAACACAGCAACACATCACATACACACTTACATGCATACACACGCGATCACTCAATAACGCAGAAAGAGACATACAAATCCACAAGCACACAATCACACACCACAACACAAACACATAACGCACAACACGCACAACACAAACAACACACATAACACACACCAAACACCACACACAACACACGCAAAACACACACAACACAACACACAACACACAACACACAACACACAACACACAACACACAACACAGCACAGCACAGCACAACACGCGCAAACACACACACACACACAAAGGCACACAAGCACACAAACACACACACACACACACAATCACAAACACACACACACACACACGCACACACGCACACACAGACGGTACCCGACCCTACTCGACGCCTGGTCGCTTTCGGGTCATAATTTGGCCTTTGGAACTGCTGAAGAGCGGGGAAACTCTCCACGAGGAGCAGTTGCTGGAGAGCACCCCGAAGCGAGAGAACCCCCAAAAACGATCCAACATGTCCTCCCCTGCTCTTTTTGGATGAAGGGAAGCATCGAGCTGGTGGAATCGGCAATGCATCGCCGATCGGCCCCTCACAGCAAATCCGCACGGTACTGGGCGAGGTGGGGCTTTCGTGCCCCTATCGGCGATCAGTGGGCGATTCGGAGTCGGTACGCCCCCTCGGGAGCCAATGCGCCCCCAGCGTTGCTCATGATTGAATCCCCCTGGGTCCTCACTCCTTCTCCGACGCCCACGAACTGGGCGCGAGAACTTTTGTCCCAACCCTCCAGTGCGGTCTCCACTCTTACGTTGGATGTTCCTCTTTCCAATGCGAATGGAACAGTGCGGTCCCCACTCCTTCTTCTCCATACCCGCCTCCTACCTGCCTGCTTCTCTGCCTGCTACCTCGCCGTCCTGCCTGGGGTTCCCTGTGGGGTTGCGAACTGCGAAAGCGTTGTTATTTTCTAGGGTTGCTGGGGGGGGGTCTGGAATAATGACGTCATCTATAAATTCACATTCGACCTCACTATCTTTGGGGAGCTGCGATGTCGGAGTTGTCGCCACCCTCGAGGGCTGCGGGGGGGTTCAACATGGTGGCGTCCTGCAAGCAATTCAGACTTGACCTCGCTATCCCTGGGGGGCTACCATGTGCGAGTCTGCCGCCACATTCGTAGCCGCTGTGGGGCTAAACGTTAAGATGTCCTCAGCAAATCTGGACTTGACCTTGCCATCCCTCGGGGGTTGTCATCTGCGAAGCTGTCGGTGGTTTCGAAGGGTTCAACGTAGTGATTTTACGAAAATCTAGACCCCACCACCCCCGGGAATCTGCGATCTACAAAATTATCGCCATGCTCGAAGCTGTGGGGGGTCTAGCATAGTGGCGTCCGTCGCAACTTCAGATTTGACATCACCATTGCGAGACGGTCGCCATTTCTGATGGTTGCTGGGAGGTCCAACGTACTGACGTTGTAAGCAGACCCGAATTCGACCTCACCATCCCTGGGGGGATTCGAAGTGCGAAACTTGCCGCCACTTTCGTGGGCTGCTGGGGGGTGCCGCACAATGACGCCCAACGACAATTTAGATTCGCCATCGCCGCTCCTGGGGGGGTGCGAATTGCGAAACTGTCGCCATTTCCGAAGGCCGCTGCGGGGTCCAGCATCGTGATGGTGTACGCATATCTAGATTCGAACTCACCATCCCTGAGGGGTTGCGACCTGCGAAATTGTTGTCACTTTCGATGGCTGCTGGGGTGTCTAGCAGAACGACGTCCTACGCGGAATCATACTCGACCTCGCCATCCCTGTCGGGCTGCGAACTGGGAAACTATCGCTCGCCACTTTCGAATGCTTCGAGGGAGTCCACCGGAATGACGTTCTACGCGGGCTTTAAATTGGACCTCGCCATGCTTGGGGGGCCTGCGATGTGCGAAACGGCCGCAACTTTCGAAGGCTGCTTGGGGGCCCAACGGCATAACACCCGACGCGAACTCATACTCAATTTCATTATCCTTGGGGGTCCACGGACTGCGAAACTGACGCCGCTTTCGACGGTTGCTGTGTTGGCCCGCCGCGGCGACGTCCTACGCGGCCCCAGGTTCGACCTCATCATCCCTGGGGGGCTGCGATTTGCGAGACGGTCGCACATATTAGAAGGCTGCTGAGGAGTCCGACATCACGACGCCCTGCGCGGACGCAGCTTCGACCTCATCAGCCCTGGGGGCCGCGAGCTGCAAAACTATCGCACAGTTATGAGGGCTGCTGGGTGGCCCATCGTAGCGACGTCCTACGCGAAATCAGGTTCGACCCCATCATCTTTGGCGGGGCCGCGAGCTGCGAAAGTGTCGCCACTTTCGAGGGCTGCCTGGGGGTTCGCCGTAGCGACGTCCTACGCTGAGTCAGTTTCGCCTTGATGTGCTGTCCCGCGGGCCGCCAGGAGACCTGGCGGCGCGCCTGCGGGCGTTTAGCTCCCACACTGCAAGGTGCAGGAAGGAGGCGGAAATCCTGGCGGACGAGCTCGACGTCGCTTGCTTCTTGCACCAACTACTAGCTCTGAACCGCTGATCCTTTGGTGTGCCACGGCGACATGGCGCGTGCCGCGTTTCTTGTCCAACGTGCCACTGTAAAATTATCGGCGCTCTCCTGCCTCGCCCTGTCTCCATCGTTGTCGTCCTCTTCTTCCTTTCACCATTTCACTGCTGCTGTCACGTTAACTGTTCGGCCCCTCTTCCGACTTTTTCCGGCCCCTCGCTCCCGCCCCCATTTTATCGTCGACCCTGGGGCCTTAGTCCTCGTCCTCCTGCTGCTGTCTTGTGATTCGTGCAACGCGCCCGCTTCCCGCATTGCTTGCGCAACAACTGATATATCCTGTGCTGCCATCAGCCATCTTATTCTGGACCCGGTCCTCTAGTCAATCAGTGAACACCGGTTGGGTACGTCGCAGGGAAATTTTGTTCGTGGCACTGGGCGTCGGTCGCGCCTTGGCACGCCCCCTGCCCGCGCAGGGGGGGGGCCGAAGCAAGCGGCTCTCGTGTGAGTGGGCAGAGCTCTTGTTGGCGTGCGCCACTGGCCCGTGAATGTTAGGGGAAGAAAAGGCGGTGTACGGCAGATTCGTGTGGTGACGGCATTGGCGTTGGTCCCTTGTCTCTGACACCGCGTGGATCCTTAACCTCGAACGATCGCGGCTTCGCGATAACGCAGATTTTTCGATATCGGCCGATTCCTGGCAACTGGCTGAGTTGAACCTTGAATGCCCACGATGGGGTCGCCGCGTCGTCGACACGGCACGAGCCTACCGTAGACATAGACTTTCGGAACTCCGCGCGGACTGAGTGGGTCGGCGCCTGACGCGCGGAACGCGCCAAGGGCGGCGCCGCGGAGCCCGTTGCCGATCCAAGGTGTCCGCACGGACCGGATTTTCTTTGTCGAAGCGGGGCACCTCGCGGGCGGGGCTGTGTCGCGGGGGGCGTGCTGGCTACCTATAGGAGCACCTGGGCTTCGTTGGCGCCAGACAGGGCTCCTCAAACGTGGAAAAGCTGCAGCGGAGGCTCCTCACGAATTCCGAGGTGGTCCTTGCTCTGGCCCGCGGCCGCGATGAGCTGGTCTATGGGGAAGCCTGCCCCGAAGACAGCCTGCAAGCCGAGCCGAATGCCTGTGATCATGAGCAGGCTCAGGAACACGTAGGTCACGGTCCTCCCAGATATGTTGGGCAGCGACGAGCGCTGGGCGACGACGGTCATGATGCACTCGTCGCCCATGCTCACCCGGATTGCCAGGGTGGCGCCAGCAATCGCAAAGAGCAACAACAACGACTCGAACGCGCGCAGCACCGCGCTGCCGCCGAAGACCATCACGACGAACACCCAGTGACAGGCGTCGAGCAATCCGGACTGACAGGTGGCCGCCTGGGCAGAGGCCCCCGGCGGCAACGCGAGCGCGGCCAGCATGACGGCCTGAACCGCCAGGGCGGTCAAAAAGAAAGGCCTGTCGATCAGCCACGGCACGTCGGGCCGGCTCGCGATCCTGGGGGGGGGGGGACCATAAAAAGGCCTCCTGGATGGGGCCCGAGCAGATGGGGTCGGAGGATCGTGCCGCATCGCCGATACATCGGCGATGCACGGGCGATGCATCGTCGACGTCGGCGATGCATCGGCGACGTCGACGTGAAGCAAATCGGGCTGCACATCGAGCCGCATTGGCGACGCATCGGCAATGCGGCGCGATCCTCCGACCCCATTGGCTCCGACCCCATCTGGGAGGCCTAGAGACCAAACAATACTGATGCCGCTGCTCCCTGGACGTCTCCTGGGGTGCGTTCTGACCCGAATCTCGCAGAGCATCCAGCCGTGGCGGCGAGAGCTCTCCGGGACGAGCAGCGATAATTATGGGTACAGTCGGCCCCTATCGCAAGGATGCGCGATAGGGATGCAAGGGCCTTGGACGCCCATTTCAAAGCTCTTCGAGCGGGGCGCGACCAACGAAAGTGGCCAAGGATGGACCGAGGAGGCAAGGGATGCAAGGGTACCCTTAGGACAATTGCCCGCCCTTGCGCTGTTGGCTGACCTTATCTGGGGGAACGAAAAAACATAAGCATGAACTCTCCGAACTCCGCGCGGATCTCTTGGACCTGCGCTGGGCCCCGCTCTCCGGCGCGCCGGGGGGTGCGCAGCCAGGGAATGCACCGACGCTGCGAGAAATCCGCGCGGACCTCCGAAGATTGATGTTTGTGCCGTCTTTATTCTTCGAGTACAGTGGAGAATGGAGGCCAGTCCACAAGAAACTCAACCCTGAGACCCCAGGACGTCCGGTGGCTTTGGTGTGGGAACGTCGCGCTTCCCACAGCAACACCATCGAAACCCGAGAAACACCCAGGGCTCCCTGGAGGCACGCAGGGTGCTTCTTGGCATGGGCCTCCACTGTATCCCTCCCTCCCCTGGGATCCACAGCTCGGCCGCCATCACCAGCACGATGGCGCCGCCCAGCAGCGCGGCCAACCTGCCCGGGCCCCGGCCGCCCTGCTGGCCGAGCAGGCCGGCGACCGCGGGCCTGGCAGCAGGGCAATGGCCGAGGCCTTCCTCGGCCGCCGCCGAGGAGGCCAGCGGTGGCGCCTCCGCGGGCGCTGCGAGGTGGTGGGTGGTCGCGTCCGCAGAGGGAGGCACGGGCGTCGGGGTGGCCTCCGCCGCCATCGCGGGCGCGGGCGGGGGGGGGTAGGCGTACGAGATGCTCGCCCTGGGGACCTTCGTGGAGCCATTCTCGCTCCACTCGTGCGTCGATGCTGCGTTGAGCGTCCGTGGACTTGAGTCAAACTCGAGAAGAACTAGAGCCGAAGTGGAGTCGAAAGCCGAAGTGGAGTCGAACATATCCGTCAAGTGTGCTCCAGGAAAATCCCCCGAAAGAACATCCAAGGCGTATGTTGCATCATCGGGAGACCTCGTCTGTCCCATCGCGTAAACTATCCTTGTCGAATCGTCGCCAGAGCCACGTCGACCGTGCTGGAGCCGTGTCGAATCCACGTCGAATTCACGAAGAATCTGCGTCGAGTCGGAGCACAACAACAGACCTCCATTTGCAGGGCAAGACCCGAAGATGCAACGTGAGGAGGAGGAGGAGGAAGAGGAGGAGGAGGAGGAGGAAGAGGCAACTTCTGGGAAATCTTCGTGGGAACGATCAAACGCTGTTGAGCCCGACACATTAGGGTGGATCCGACCTGATTAGACCATACCTGACTCGACCTGATTAGACCTGATTCGACCTATCGTATGTGTATGGAATTTCGCGGGCCAGATCGATCTGCGAAGGCGCTCAAAAATTGGCGCGACAGGCAGGGCGCGCCCTGGGCCACGACCACCTCTTGCAACCCCCGAATCTGGGGCGTCCAATGGGGGGGCGTCCAAGAGGGGGGGGCACAAATCATGGCCGGCGGCAAGTGCGCGGCCCAGGGGGGGACGTTTTGAGATACGTAGCCCCCCGCAGATGCGGAGAAGAGTGAGGGGGCGGTGGAGACGCGGCAGCTTGCGAGACTCCGGAGAAGCCCGCCGCAGGCGCCGAAATTTCACAAATCATATAACGAACCCGCCGCAAGCGCTGATTTTTTCGTTAAACCAATGTGGGTAGGTCGCGGGTGGGTCGCAAATGGGTCGCGGGTGTAGAGGGCAGACAATCCACCCCATAATTATCACCCCAGCAAGCGAAACCGTTAGCAAGCGCACACACGGAATTAATCGAACAGGGCAGGGCTGTTTAGTCAACGCCCAGGGCAGTTTAGTAAACGTCAATTGTCGGGTCCGGGTGGTTTTTCCTCCCTTGAGGGTGGGTCGCAGGGTGGGTCGCGGGTGGGTTGCGGGGTGGGTCGCGGGTGGGTCGCGGGGTGGGGGTCGCGGGTGGGTCGCGGGGTGGGTCGCGGGTGTGTCGCGGGTGGGTCGCGGGTTGGGTCTCGGGTCGGTCGCGGGGTGGGTCGCGGGGTGGGTCGCGGGTGGGTCGCGGGTGGGACGACGACAGCAAACAACAGCAACAACAACAACAACGCAACAAGCATAATTCTCACCACGAGTTCTTTATTCAGCCACGCACCCAGGGACAATGAATGACCGTTCGGCCCCCTCACTCTGATGTAAGAAGAGGCACCGCACAATCTGGGGGGAGATGTCATGGCCCCCGCCATGATATCCCCCCTAGTCATCATCCCCCCCTTGGCCGCCCCCGAACCTCTGGCAACCTCCGAAAGCCGCCCGTCGACGATCGGAACGACATGTGTAGGGAACAAAACTCTATACACCGACGCTTTTTCCAGCCCTGAATTGAGATTTGCACAGGAAATCACACCCTGGTGTATAATTCGGGAGCCTTGTGTATACATGTTTCGTCGTTTCCCTGGGAAGCGGAAACTAAAAATACAAGTGGCACGCGTGTCCTGGCTCTTGCACAAAGGAGCTGCGAAGGACAGGGGGCCCTCGCCTCCTTCCTCCAGGAGGGGTTTAGGAGGATCCAGGAAGAAAGCGGCGGAGGAGGACGACGACGACGACGATTTCTGGGGCCTGGCCTGGTTTTGTTTCTAGGCCTCGGCCAAGAGTGCCTCAGTGGTTCCCCAAGAGCCGGGGGGCTACCCTGGGAAGCGTGGACAGGGGGGGGGGGCGAGGGGGGCGGGGAGGGGGCGAGGGGAAGCGAACGATGCGACGAACGACGAAAGTAAAGGGTTCCGTGGCCCAGGGGGGCTACCCTCGGAAGCGAGGACAGGGGAGGGGGCGAGGGGCACCCTGGGAAGCGTGGACAGGGGGGGGGGGCGAGGGGGGCGGGGGGGGGCGAGGGGGGCGAACGACGCGACGAACGACGAAAATAAAGGGTTCCGTGGCCCAGGGGGGCTACCCTGGGAAGCGTGGACAGGGGGGGGAGCGAGGGGGGCGAACGACACGACGAACGACGAAAATAAAAATGTCCGAGCTCTCGAGCACAGCTGTGCAAGAGAATAAGGCGATCGGGGCGGAGGGGGCGGTGTGCTGGGATGCTGGTGAGAGTGGGAGGGAGGGGGGGGGGCGACGACGACGCCGA